CACCTCTGCGCTATGTCACCGCACGGGAGACACAGGCACAAGATGGACTCTTGCACAGCCACCAAAGCAACATTTAAAAAAAACAACAACCCTGCACAGCCAGTCTTCTCCGGTGGTCAATCAGAAACCATCCTGGGCAAAAGCCCCATCTGGCCACACCCACCTTCTAAAAATGCTTGCATCTCTTGCCTTGTGCAGAGGGTTGGACTAGATGACCCTGGACGTCCCTTCCCACTCTGTGGTTCTATGATTCTCTGTGCGAGAGCAGTTGGGGGGGCAACAGTGGGAGGGCTTCTGGCCCCACTGGTGGACCTCATAAGAACATAAGAACATAAGAGATGCCGCCCCTGGTCTTTTTGGCCACTGTGTGACACAGAGTGTTGGACTGGATGGGCCACTGGCCTGGTCCAGCATTGGCTTCTCTTATGTCCTTATGTTCATAGAGCCAACCTGTTTCTTCTGTGCAAAAGACACCCGGTAGAGAGCAGCGCCCGGCATCTTCTCCCCCTCCCCCCCTCCCCGGGGTGCTATCCTGCCCTGCCGGCAGAGGTCATTTCGGGGGGGACCGCAGTTCCCCCGGGTGAGGTACTGGGGGGCGGGGCACATGACGAAGCCCCGCCCCCTGCTTCCGGCCGCCCCGCTTCCGGCCCTCATTCAGCCAGGAGGAGGCAGGAGAAGAGGGAGGTTAAGTTGCTTCCTCCCCGCCTCTCCCCACCCCTGCCTGCCTGGGGCCAGGGAGGGCCTTGGCAGGGCTTCCTCGCTCTCCCGCTGGCCTTGCAGGTCCACCGCCGGGCCCCTGATGTCAGGGGGTATGTCATATGCTAATGAGTTATGCTAATGAGTTCCCCTAGCTCTTTGTCTATGAAATGACCCCTGCCTGCCGGAATGCCGGTCCCTCATCCGTGCCCACCAGCGCCTGGCGGGGCCTCTCACCTTTCTTGATGTTGTGGACTTGGCTGATCTGGCTGCAGCTGTGGGTGGAGATGGTCAGGGCGGGCATGGGGAGCTTGGGGGAGGACAAGACGGCTGGCGTCCCCACGGGGGAGTAGTTGAACAACGTGGCCCCAAAGGTCTGCCGCCGCCCCTCCCGCCGGTTGCTGTCGATGGCTGCCTGCAGCTCCCCGGGAGAGCTCAGAGCCCGCTTCTCACACTCGTACGGGTAGAGGTATTTCATGTACCTGCGAGGCGGAGGGAGAGAAGAGCCGGTGCCGCTAAGTTTCTGGAGCCCTGGTGGGGGGTACCCTTCCCAGAGGCATTTCCCCAAGGGAGGCTCTGGGCCCATCACAGCAGGTGGAAATCCAAAAGGTGTAGCTCCACCCTCCCTGTATCTCCATGCAGGGGGGAAGAAGAAGAAGAAGAAAAAGAGGAGGAGGAGGAGATTGGATTTATACCCCACCCTTCACTTCCAGAAGGAGTCTCAGGTCCTTTCCGCACTAGCAATACACAAATCATACAATTGTGGTAAAGAAGCACTCAGAATTTTTTTACCTCAAGATGTTGTACAAAACATTAATTTCTGAACTCATGAGTGTGCAGCTTTTTGTTGCTTCAGGAACTCCATACTTCGTGTTGACTGGTACAATTTCTGGTCAGAAGAAGACACATTGTCGAAACGGCAGCACCAATCCGGAGACCACCGTCCCGCCTTTTCGCTTCTATTTCCTTGTTTTATTTCCTGTAATAATCATTTCAGAAATTAATGTTTTGTACAACATCT